TAACCAAACCACTGTTACATATGGGATTAGTGTTGCCATTTCAAATGAAGCTTACTGAAAGTTTCAAAATAAAAGCCTGCATACTCCCCTCACATCAGTGCACCGCTGCAGGTGGTGCAAAATATTATTCTTCTGTTATGTTTTTGCTCTCAGCACAAACATTAGCATTCCACTGCCACACACTAGTGCACTTCCTTGTACGCATTAGCATTTTACCTAAAATAAGCTTTTAGCGAATTTATTTACTTATTAGACATGTTTAGAATACTGATTGGACTGAGTCAATGACTGACAACATGGTAGTGATACCCCACATTCTACTGATACCATTCATGCTATTATTAGCATTTTGGCTAATTTTACCGTATGCAACATACTGAATGGTACAAGTACAGCTTAGTCCACATGCTTCTGACTCTCCACAGGTTATTGACTACATTGAAGCTTTCTTTAGCATTAATGCTAATTTTTAGCATCAGAACGCTGGGTCCAAACCGACGGGCACACTTTGGCAGGCCCCTTAAAATTTCTGTGGAATTTTCTAGTTTCTATCTAATGTCTGAGTTGTGTTCATGGTAATTATTTCAGAATTGTTTATGCTTTATCTTGTAGGTTGTGAAAAATGCTTTCTAGGCTAAACCGATTGGACAGAGTATTTTTGAATGAATATGATGGTGAACCACAGGTGGGTGTGGTTAGTTTTGTTCACACTTCTTTTTAAAATATTTATTTATTATAATGTTTGTGCTGTCCTCGCCCTGAGTTTTCAATCTTTTCAGCCGCTAGACAGCCAGACAACGACGCTCCAATAACCAAACTTCTTTCTTTCTTTTTAGTTGTTTATTGAAGAGTGGCCTCTGACCACTACCATCACTTTGGCCATCGTAAACTGCAACATACAAGGCGTAATGTTAGCTAACATAGCAAAATAGCCATTCTTACTGCGAGCTTAAAACAACATTTTCTTAAGTGACTAAAGTATACAAATTACTTACACCAGCGTTACATGAAACAAAGACACAATTATTATTTTCACAATTAACAAGCACTTACGAACAAATCTTGTCGGAAACACAACGAATAAAGACAATAGTCAGCTACTCCACGAGCTGTTTGGTGTCGCGTTCCACCATCTTGGATCTATTTTTTTCTTTTTGCATCACAAAGGCAACATAGCAAAAATATCCACCAGGGGGTGCTCTAGTTCAAACCTTGCTGGTCCAGCTAAACTAAACAAAAGGCAGCACAATGTTTATGCTATTTTTCTTGTTTTTCCTCCAGGCCTTTGTCTGTTGGTTCACCTACTTCGTCCTACATCCAAAGGCCACAAGAAAAATGCCAAAACAGCCCATGTGGACCATGTTGTTAGATATTTGCAGGTATGTGGTTATTCTAATGATCCTATTTCTTGTCCAAAAACACTTTCTCATTGGCTTAGTTTGCTATTTAAATGTAGCTGTGCTATGTCTTGTTAATCATTTTTATTATTTGTCGTCTTAGGATTTTGCCAAAGATGGGAACCAGTGTTGAAGACTTCCTCTTTGTGTGGAACCAGGACAGCCCGTCCTCCTGTGTGTTGGTGAAAACAAGAACAGCACCAAAGACACTTTCCCACCATAGATGGTCACAAGACCATCTATGGCTGCTTTTGATGAACTTTGAAAGCGCAACGCATCTTCAGTGCAAATTACCATGAATTCCTCTCCAATGTTTTCAACATTGATGTGACTTTTGCACGACAATTGAGGACATGAATATCCTTGCTTTTATTTTGCCTGGCAGAGTGGACATTCTTTATTATGACGCTCATTTAATTGCATACTGTATCAATAAGAGGAGTTATTTTATGTTCTTCCAATTCAGTACTTGGTTTCTTACAGTTCCTATGGCAAGCAATTTTCTGAAATATGTGGGAAAGACAACAGCTGATTGCCATACTGTATGATCTTTGCTCTACTGCATATCGCTGCTAGTCCTGTGTGTTGTTTTGAAATACAAGATTCAAACTGCAACTTGTGTTGGTGTTTTTGTAGATTCAAGTGACATGTTTTTTAAAGTAAATTTGGGGATTATTAACTACCAGTAGAATATTTGAAAGGTTTTTTGGCTCTAGTGGCCTTTTTTGATAGTGAATTGACAAGAAAATGGGTAATGAAAGAAGGGGGATAACATGCTGGAAAGGTCACCAGGCGGGAAGCAAATCTGCGATGGCGCGTTCGTAGCAGGTGTCGCAGGTTTGCGTCGCAAGTATACACATCCTACACCAGGGGTGTCCAAAGTCAGTCCTCGAGGGCCGGCATCCTGCATGTTATAGTTTTCTCCCTGGTTTTACACACCTGGATCAAATGATGGCTCATTAGAAGGCCTAAGCAGAATACTGACTTGCTGAGGAGGTTGTTACAACCACTACACAGTACTTAAGTGTTAAAACATACTGGGTTATTTAATAGCATTTAAAGGTATTTATGTGTGCATTCTTGTGCATACATACAGATATATGATTTAATGAAAATGTCTCTGAATTTGCACACGCATATACTCTACTGAAATGTGTATTATGAAATTCCTTCTGCATATCATTGATGACCACACTCCAGTCTGGTAGGTGGCGGTAATGCACCTGAACTTGACTGCCATTCACCAATAAAACGCAAAAGAAGAAAACGAATAAGGACGCTAGCTTGAGTTATCCATGCTGTTACTAGCCGAGCACGCAAGAAGAACGCTAACCATTACAGCAGATTCCAAAGCGAATTATACTTAAACTTTTTTTTTTTTTTGTGGGATCTTACTTTATTTTATTGCGGACCACAGTTTTGCTCTGTTGCTGGACGTCATAAAAGGTACAGTTTGAACTTACTGAGATATTGCTCAGTTTTTCATTTTTTGTTATCCTGAACAAATTAAAAACAACATTGTTAAGAATGACGTGTTGTAACATATGTTCCAAAATGTGCAGTAATACAGCTGCTTACTTAAGGCACATGCGAAAACATTGCTGCATGTCAAATGTAATATTCAAGTGTGGTTTTTCTGGGTGCAGCAGGCAGTTCAGTAAATTTTCATCTTTTAAGTGTCACATCTATCGACATAAAGTCATTCATAGAACTGCTATTGGAAGTGAAACTGTTTTAAAATGTCATGTGGAGTTTTGTAATGCTACATTTGAAGATATGAGGAGTCTTTTTGGGCATCTTAAAATCCATATCAAAGAGGGAAGATCAGTTTTGTGCCCTTTCAAGCAATGCACGAAAACTTTTACAGTTAGGTCTACATTTACTTCAAGACAAAGTATAAGAGCAACATGTATGTTGTAATAGGTCATAATGATGATGGCTTAATAGTGGGAAAAATAAAGAAAATGATTGTTTATAAATACTCAGTTGTTTACTTCATCTGTGAGAAACACCAAGCTGTTCGGCTTCCTTCCATTGACTCTTATCATACAAGTCCTCTGCCAAGATCCTACTGCTGTGTCGAATCGGAGGAACTGCTTGATTTTTACCCACTTCCAGAATATACTGTTTGTGGTGTATCTCTTCTAATACTCCACCATTCTATTCCTGTGTTTTAGAAAAATGTCGTCATTAGATAACACAATAAAAGAGATCATCCTAAAGGCTTTGCCCAATCTTTGCAAGGACACTCAAGAAAAACTAGTTTCTACACTTGTAACTTCTGGGGTTGAGTCTGCAGAAGATCTGAAATATATTCAACAGGAGGACATCAAGGATCTGCTGTCTGTCGTTCAACAGCGCAAATTGTTGGAGACATTTAAGCGAGGTAAATAACCCTATCCTATTTTAAATTTTGCTGAGAAAAAAAGCATGTTTTACTCAAAATGGATGTATTTTTTTATTTCAGAAACGAACACAGTCGCACTAGACTTGGAGATTACTTCCAGTCCCTCACCTGCATTGCCTTTTTTCAGACCTTCAAGTGCTTCCACATCCTCACTTTCCAGCATACCACCAATTTCACCACAACCTTCAGCACTGCATCTTGTGTTTTGCCAGAATGAACAACAAAACCTATCCCAGCCTTGGACAGAAGACTTTCAAGTTCCATGGAACAAGATGCCACTGGAGATTCAGACAGCAATTTCAGAAGGTAAAAGACCCCGTCCTGACAAGAGGCGGCAAATGATAAGAATTCTTGCAGATGAAGTGCAGAAGTATGAGGCTAACCCCACACGTTCACAATGCCTTACAATTTGCCAGAAGATAACCCGCCAATATCCAGGTAGCTTTGCTGATATGACACCATGTGGAAAGCTCATTGCTGGAGGGTATAGTTCTCTGTTGTCTCAACTCAAAACACGAATTGAGAATATCAACCGTTGTGGGAGCTTTCGAAAGTACAGATCATCAGGACCCTGTGGCATAGCTGGAGTCAAACGGGGACCAACTGACATATATGGGTGTACCAGGTTCCAGCCAGAACTCCCCCCAGAGGAAACTGATGACACAGTGGAGGAGAAACGTCAAAGACTACAGAGTACCTTCAACAAGTATGGCATCAATGGAGATGATCGGCCAGAAGTGACAGACCTGATGGAGACTACATACAGCCTTCAGCGTAAACATATAAATGAGTTACCTGCTCCCTCCATTGCCGATTTACAAATCAACTGGCCTTACCTATTTACACAAAGGGGAATCTTTTCTCACTTTGAGTTGCTAACTGATGTTCCCCTACTCCGTGTCCTGGAACTGTCATTTGAGAAGTATGGTAATACTGTTGTAGAGTACTTCTGCACTAAAGTAAAGGCTTCCTATGTCCAGACAATTTTGGCCCAAAAGGCAACTGGCGACTTAACATTCCTTGTCATTCAGCTTTTGATGGCCCATTTCAATGAGTCACCTGACGGCCTAATGCTGACTACAGATGTTAGATCATCGCCACCGCAAACAAACATTACAAGTTTTCACAATTTGTGCATATGCATACTGTTATTCTATGCCCTTGTTCATGCTACACAGGAGTATGCAACAGCTGCTGATGTGGATACAAGTCTAAGTTTACCAGCCAGCCCTCGTTTGATATTGCGTAAGTGCAGCATGAATTATCAATGGTTTCAGTTTTTGCTTAATACTTAGCATGTTTTATTTCTTTTTTCCAATTACACATACAATTCTGTAAAAAGGATATTTAGACATAATAAAATGACTGGACCTTAAAATAGTTAAAAAGCTATTGTTGGAATAACTGACATGTTGACCTTAAATAAATTCAATGCCAGTGTATTGTCCAGTGTACACTTTCCTCATTCGTTGTATTAGGAAAAGTTCAACAAAAACTTATCTCTCTGTCCTTCGTAGGTGGTAATGAGCAAGCATTGGCTGGATGGATGGTGAGCATTGAAGGCCGTACTGTCTTTGAGGGGGTCCAACCTACTTTCCAGACAGGACTGGCAGCAGTGTTTGCCACCTTTTACATCTTCAACCTCCAGTACCAACATGAGGCAGCCAAGACTTTGGAGTTCATTCAACGGTAAAACCATTCCTATGATTTTCTTACAATTATCAGAATACAATGACATGGTTTTAAAGTGTTAGAGCAAGTAATGATTAATATTTGACAAAGGTGGTGATGTTTTTTCTGTACATAACTAAAAATAGGATAATTTGTCCACATTACATAAAGGAGGCTTTATATATTGTACCTGCTGTATTCAGAGTGCAAAATAATTTATATTCTCAAATATTGTCCCATTTCTGATTGTGTGTTTTAGTTGCTTCATTGGGATTAACCCAGAAAGGGGAACAAAAGCTGGCCATGGGAAGATGGTATGCAAAAGAACAGGAAAGACCATCCAACAAAAAAAGGCAGGCGGTTAATGTGCAGGTTTCCACTCTTATCAAAAACCTAATGGACTTTGAGTGGCATTTCATACAGGTCAGTAGTTGTTCTTGTTTTTCTTTGAAATATTTCTGTTTCCATATCATTTAAGATCTAAATTATATTGTCTTTTTTTTTCTATGTTTGACGGTGCCTTCATCTGCATCTAATAAAGTAAGTGCCACTTGGACTGTTGAAACCCATTAGTAGTTCACTTTTTAAAACCCTTGTTGAATGTTTGATTTAGGAAGTCTTTTTTTTATTTAGTGATACCAAAAGTATGAATATTTATTTAAGAACTGTGTTCCTGTATTCCAAAGGGTATAGAAATTAAACACAGTTCATGTGACTGTAAACAGTAATACTTGAATTTTTATTCATGTGTTAGTGAAAATATATCTTGACTTCAAAGGGCTATTTTATTTTGACCAGTTCTCAGAGGAATGGTTATGTTTTTTGTTTAGAATGTACTGAAAATATATATACATTTGTTAGGCAAAGTGATGCCTTTAAATAAAAATTATGTTCCGAAGGTTACTTATCACATCCTCTTTTGTGCTATGTGCAGATTATACATTTAGAACCGCACCAATTGTGGCACTTCTAAGGGTGCGTTCACACTGCAGCCTGAAGTGACTCAATTCCGATTTTTTTTGCCGGGGCCGTTCACACACTGTCAGTAAATGCGACCTGTATGCGTTCTGCAGTGTGAACAGGCAAACGACTTGAAAGTGTCCCGCATGCGCAGTAGAGGGCGCAATAGCGTCAGCGTTCTAAGCGTTCTGCCAACCGCCATAAAAAGAAGTGCTCAGTGTTTGCAGAAGTAAACATGGAGGCTAACGGTGGAGCTTAGCTTACATATTTGAAGTTGTTATCCGGCCTGAGCAGCATATTAATGACTTAATCCTCATATAATCCTTCATGGTTGTTGTTTTTCTTCCCACTTGTGCGTATCAGGACGCAGAATAGTGAGATTTGTTGAGAATCAGTGACGTTCAGTTCGGATGTAGGCGGCCTGGACGTTAGGTCGCATTTGAATCGGATACGTATCGGATATGGGTCAGAATCGAAAAAGAATCCGACCTGTACTGTTCACACTGCCATGAAAAGATCGGATACAGGTCGCATTACGACCAAAAATTCGGCATTGAGTCACTTCAGGCTGCAGTGTGAACGCACCCTAAGAAGCTTACACTGGGTCAGGTATTAATGTTCTATCGTAAAACTAAGACTGTACTTTAAAAATTAGCATTACAGTTTTCTTTGCAGTAGCTTACTCATAAAGTGAATGCAGTAGTAAAACTAAATTTACAGTAAAAATAATCGCATAGCGGCGAAGGAAAAAAAAACAGACTCAAAGTATGTTTTTTTCTCCTGATTTCTCTATTACTCTTCACCTTTTGTAATAAAGGCTGTTGCATATTTAAACAAAAATCTTAGTTTGATTCTAAAATTTTCAAACACATATAGCACATTTACACAAGGAATGTAAGCAAAGAATCCCTTTTCAAATGCTCTCCAAATCTCAGGTAAGACAATACAGTTTAATCAAACTATTGTTTTTAGGCTTAACTTTAATCAGTCAAACCGATTTGCTCAGGAATATATTAATTATTTGAGTGAACCAATATATTACAACTAGATGTTACCTGACTTAACTGTCATTTGGGAAAGCCCAAATGAGTCAGGTGTTCTCAGTGGCGCAAAAAGTGGGTATGCAGCGTATGCAACCCATAGGGGCGCAGCACCAGAGGGGGCGCCAAAACCCCGTCTGGAGGGGGCGACGCGCTGATGATGTTTTCTCATACACTTCTGCGCGCCTCACGCTCCTTCACCTCGCGCACATAAGTTTTACCCTTCACGTATCGTCACCTCGGTGGTATACTAAACCTGGACCAGCTGGCAGCAGGCGAGGGGAGCTGGGTGTTGATGCAGCGGGAGCAGACATTTCCGAAAACGTCGGAACAATATTGCAATTAGGTGATGCACTGATGAACCGAGTAGAAATGTGAGATTTATACATCTACATTCTCGCCTACAAATATTGTTTAAATCATGTTGTGTCACGGTTGCTAAGCAACATAACGCCGAGGTGGAGGCTAGGCAGCTAGCTGAAGGCTACAGCTTCTCTCTGCAATGCTCTCTGCCTTCGCAGGACCCCTCTTCCGTAGACCGGGTCGTTTCTCAAGCCCATGGCAGAATAAGCTTGAAAGGATGCAGACCCTGAATTCGGACACAAAGCTCTAGTGGTCTGGAACACTTATTGTTATGTATATTTTGAATGTCTTTTTTGTTTGCGCCTTTGTTCTACTTGTTTTTCTCGTGTTTGCTGTGCGTTTGCACCTGTCGGCCACCGTAGTATTTTAACGCTTCTGTATTTTAGTTCTGCTGGGCTCCATATGGTTGTGTGTATTTGTTATAAGTTGCATTGTGATCACTGTTATGTGTAGAGTGTTATGGGCTTCCCCTGTCTGACTGCTGACTCCCCCTCACATGTGATGGACCTGTCATGTGGGCGAGGGATCAGGGGAGCGGGAGGACCAGGACCGATGCTGACAGAACACCGGAAGAGCAGAGAGTTCAGTGTGTTAGCAGTGAAGCTATTCAATTGAGTGTAACGGTTTGTTAAAGGGCCGAGCTGCAGCCTAAGGAATAGCAGCTCGCTTTTATTTCTAATAAACCCTGTTGACGGTACCACATCTGCGGTGTGTTGGCGTCATTACAGTATTTACTTACAGTACACCACTTTAAAAGGTAATTACAGGATTGAAAAGGTAAATGTCCAGTAAAATAGTGGTATCTACAGACGCCAGTTTTTTTTGTTTTGTTTTTTTTTAACCGTTTTTCTGAAAGAATGGTGAAAAAAAAAAAAAAAGGGGGTTGGGGGGAACCAGTTTTTT